TGATTCGAGCATTATCTTAGCGACCTTCTCGGAATCCTGTCAGATACAGTGACATTTTCTAACTCTTCGTATTTCTAATTCTCATCCAGCCAATTTTCACTAAACTTTCAACGAATAACGATAATGTAGACAGGTTAAAAATGCATATTTTGTAGCAACCTCCAAAACTTATTACAAAAGTTGTGGATTTCGAAAAAACAGTGTGTTTCCCAACAGATTGGCTGAAAAGGCACAGTCTACGTATTCGGATTTTCTTGCCTTCGCAAACATTCATGAATCTCAGTTTGGTTTTTATAGAAGGACATCCGTACTTCTTGAACAATCTGTTATAAAATATTTTCCTCTGCCACCTTGTAATTTTGAAGAAAATGAGAAAGTGAAATTGCAGAGTGGGATCTGTGAGGCATGAGTGGCAAACTAAAGATGTATTTAATATAATGTTTCGTTTGTACTTTAACCTTTTGTTGTTCTGGATTTTTAAAGTGTTTCAGATGAATATTTATGTACTGTGAAATTGAAGTCATAATATCTTATTTTCTCAATTATCTTACATTTCACGTTTCAACTTTCAACTTTCTTTTCTTTTTTTTTCCCACAACCATTTATTTACATTTAGAATTACATTGAAAATGAAAATGTGTAATTAATTTGTTAACCTTTTTGAAAAGGAACAATAAAATGAATATATATATATATAGAGTCTGGCTTGACTCCGATTCGGAAGAGAACACGCTGGACTAGCTATCCGTGAGAAAAAACCAAACTATTTGTATTTCGCTTTTTGAGCTGTTACCCGGTTTTCCGAAGATCCTCTGAGAAATCTGCTTTAAGAAAAGATTGAGTTGCGTGATGAAAAGATGCGATCAGGTATTGGCTTTCAGTTGATTAAGATTGCAAACATGTAGCGCTTCCTTGTCGAACGTTATGCACGAAAGATCTGAGTCCATTCTTCTTTTTACCAACAATAATCATCGTTTTTTATCACCAATTGTACCATGAATCATGGCCGTGAATCATGGCCCTTTGTTTGCCTATGTGACACTGATTGTTTGAAAAACAATTTGAAATGTTTCTCTTCGATCATACAAGCCACCAGAGTTTGTCTCGAACAAGTAGCCTCCAGTTCTGGGACTGGTGTTAGTGGTAGTGCAATGGTTTAAAGAACCAAAAATATTGAACATTTCTGAATTCATTCTTTACGAGGTTATCAGCCAGAAAGAAACCAGCTTCACTAAACATTCGAAAAATAAATCGCTAACGATCCATAATGGTTCGATTATGGTCTCAAAATGGATACCATCAAATACTCATTTTGAAATTGTAACAAATTGCCACCTTCAGGCATTAATACGTTTCTAGTAAAAACGGCCAAAAAATTGTCGCAATGGTCTAAAAATTTCCATATAACAAACATTGAAATATTTGTAAATGTGTATCTAATAGACAATTCATTACAACGTTTTCAACGACTTGGGAAAGGCTCGTGCACGAAATAATTTTTTTTTTGTTCACGGTTGAATAGCCCGCTTTGACTGCATGCAAAGTACATGTGTATATAAAAGACAATATAAATAATTGTAATGAAAACACTGATTAACGTACTTTGATACAATTATTGCACCACTTTTGTATTTGTCGAACGGATGCTTTTTTATCGACTAAGAGAATTGTTTTTTGGTTCTGAACAATTAGTTCATGATAAATCTATAGATGAGCTTACATACAAACCACCAATTGAAGAAGAAGAAGAAAATACGGACGATGGAGTTGGTGAAGAAGTCACATTGATTTGGTATGACGAAAACACAGACGATGTAGAACAAGTAGAAGTTGAGCGAACAAAACAATCGCTTCAGGAAATAAACAATTATTTTCAGTTTTTCAACGAGAAATCTTCATTTATCGAATATATTCAAGCAAAAGTAACAGAAAAAATAATTGCAGTTATCAGTAGCCCTTCTGCTAACTATATTGTCGATCAAATTCATTCTTTATCTCAGATTGATTCCATATTTTTGTTACATTTACCGAGCGAAAATGTCATCGAGTGGGCCGATCGGTACACGAAGGTGATAGGCCATTACTGTGACAAACAAAAAATGTTAGCACAGATTACGGACAATGTGAAAATGATATTGAAACAAACGGCAGCATTTTCATTGTATGACCAAAAGCAAAAGTCAACAAGGGATTTGACAAGTGAATCGGGCTCATTTTTGTTCTTTCAACTGTTCAAAGATGTTCTTTTGAACATGGAAACGGGCGAGACAGCAAAGAAGGAAATGATAACTAAATGTAGCGGATACTACCGTAACAATCGAAAAGAAATGGATAACATTGAGCTATTTCAGACGACATATAAAGCAGTCGAAGCCATCGAATGGTACACAAAAGAATCATTTGTCTACCGTTTAGTTAATAAAGCACTCAGAACCGAAGATATCGTAGCATTGTATTCGTTTCGGTTCTATGTTGTCGATCTTTGCCGACGTTTGTGTCTGAAACACAAAGAGTTGATTGAAAGGCAAGAAAAACTGGGGCAACCCGTTCTGAAACTCTATCGAGGTTTGCAACTGGCATTGGAAGAATTAAAATCAATGCAATGTGGTGTCGGTAGTTTGATATCGCAGAATGGGTTCTTGTCAACCAGTAGATCTAAGAAGGTCGCGGAGGGATTTGCGAAGGCGCCGACAACGAGAACGAATGTTATCCCATCTCTATTTGAAATAAGTGCAGATGTAAGCAGTTTGAAAACAATTGTTCTCGCCGATATTGCTGAATATAGTGCATTCCCGAACGAAGAAGAAGTGTTATTCGATTTAGGTAAGACGAATCAAAAATGTTTAGTTTTTCGAAGAAGTTTCTGTAATTCAAGTCTTATTATTCTGATTTACTAAATGCGTAACAAAGCGTTCAGATACAATACCGTATCGAAACAATATGTCCATTAGTACTAATGGACATATTGTCTCGATACAACAAGACCGTATAGTACAGAGGAGATAGTCTAGGCTAGACTATCTCCTCTGTACGATACAGTCTTCANTTTAGGTAAGACGAATCAAAAATGTTTAGTTTTTCGAAGAAGTTTCTGTAATTCAAGTCTTATTATTCTGATTTACTAAATGCGTAACAAAGCGTTCAGATACAATACCGTATCGAAACAATATGTCCATTAGTACTAATGGACATATTGTCTCGATACAACAAGACCGTATAGTACAGAGGAGATAGTCTAGGCTAGACTATCTCCTCTGTACGATACAGTCTTCAGAGTCGATCAGAGTGAACACAAGTCTCAAATATTATGTTTCGATAATTATTAATTGCTATTCTGAGATAAAGAACGTTACGGCTGTAACAACGGCGTCGGCTTTTAACGAACGGTAAATCAACACTTTTACCGAGTTTGAAAGAATTTATCGTTGAAGAAGTAAATGTACTCCATAGACTAAGCATTTGTATATGTGTGTGTACATGTATCTCTTTGACTACCATGTCTGCTTTCTTTTGTCTTTTTCCTGCTTTCAAGCTATATCTTACAGAAAAATGATTATCAACATAGAATTGGTTGTACAATTCAATTTAGGTTCTAACTTCTTGATTAGCAGTCATACGAATTATTATCAACAACTTCAAAATTGTCTTAGTCAGTTTTCGATCAGGTCTCAATTTTATGCTTTGCTAGGGACGGCTTTATCATAACATCATTCTCATTATTTGTACAAGTTGCATCGTTAGTCGATGCGATTGATCGCAAAACGCAAAACTGCCACAGTTCGAGAAAACATCTGGCACATTTTCAACCGTTTATCTAGCAATGGCAACGATTGACGTGTGACGTGTACCAGCTTTAACTTTTTCTTGACTTCTAACTAGACCGATCGATCCTCATATCTCTTTAGCGTCACCTTTCCGGTCATTAAAAGTCAAAATCTCACTTCATCTAGGGATTGAAGTCCCAGTTCAGTAAAAAGCTGTTGGAAAGTACTGTGTACTCGAAACTTTGTGAGACATTGCTTCTATCTCCCACAACAGTGACCAAAATGGAGCTATTCGTAGCTGCAAGATTTCTCAGTAACGAAACCTTGTGGAGAGTTCGGGCTGGTCTTAACTTAACAAAAATACATGTAGCTAGAGGCTAATAGAGCCGGAGTTTTGATATTTTACTTTTCAAATTAATGACGAGCGTCGAACATCCAAAATTCGAAAAAGTCTTATTAACTTGCATTAAGATACTTTTCTAACCACAAATCGAGACGGAATATCAAACATTGGACTCTATTAGCGTCTAGCCACATATGTCAGCTTCAATTTAAGACCTTCCGGAGCTCTTTGCAATGTTTCGTTACCGAGAAATCTTGCAGCTACGAAATGGTGTTAGGGTGAAAGTCGCTTTCGAGATATGGTCAGTGCGAAGTCAGGAGTTATATCCCGATAAGCCTATGATTATCTCGAGTGGGCTACAAATCCCAATCGGGATATAATCAAGATTTGAACCGGAATATCGTTGTATCTCGATCAGGCTGCATTACTAAATATGTTCAAAAAAGTATTGAAAATAAATATGATCATTCACTAATTGTCTTAAGTGAGGCTTAAAAGACTTGATTGAAAGTTAAAAGTTTTTAGCGAAACAATTATTTTGCTTTCGGTATCCGACAACGTCTTCTTTTTCACATGTCAGGTACACCGCCTGGAAATCCGATTCGTAAAAACCCCCATATATCAAAAGATACAATAAAGCCTCCTCTACAAAATATTAAAAACTGCAAGTCTTTATTTCCCAAGCAAAAATCGTCTATGGAGAGGAGCTAGCTCCAACACAGACGTAACCGGACGGTTATCTATGACGCGGAGCTATGTAAATGTACCTTTTTACCTAGTTAGCTAGCTCAACCTAGTAGTAAATCGAGCACTAGGTTATCATATCGAGTAAGAGCGGGAGGTTGGCATCTAGGTTAACCGCCCAGTTAACCGCCCGCTTAACCTAGCTCCGAAGACGAAAAATATTTAATAAGAGGGAGGTGGTCAGCTAAGTTAACCGGGAGGTTGGAGCGCTCGGTTAACTGGGCGCTCTAACCTCCCGGTTAAGCTAGATTAAAAAATAAGAAAAAAAGAATATGTGCTTAACGAGAATCGAACCCGCTGACTAATGCGCCGTCAGAATTGAGATAGAAGTACTCGACGTTTTAACCAACTAAGCTACCAGGCACATATGTAGTAGTCGATAAGTGATGAAATCATTGAGACGATATTTTAGAGATTGGTGTTTTACGCATCAAGGAAATATTTTTGAGAGTTGAGTCTGGAACACAAAACGTAGCAAATTTATTTTGCTAAATTTCATCTGTTGAGATCAGATTTTAAGAAATCATTCTTCATGGTGGAAAACAGTAAATATCGTTTTACACTGTGAAGATTGATTTGTACGAATTTGAGCCCAGGCGATAAGAGTTACGAAGTTGGATTTGCCATATTTTGGCCATGAAACTCAATTTTGAGAAACTCTCGCTTCACTGTGAAAAATCAGGAAATTGCCATTTGGGATATATTTATGATTTTTCATCATGAAAAACGATTTTTAAAAATCTGGTATCAACAGATAAGATTTAGAAAATTAAATTTCCTATATTTCATGATTGAGACCCCACTCTCTCACTTGAAGAGATACAATTTGGAAATAAGTTGTGAGTTTTTTAACAGTAGACATATCAAAGAGTTTTAGGCTAGGTAGATCTCAACACGTCTTTGACAATTTGAAACAGTGTATCATAATCTGAAACAAATCTGTGCAATATTATCCGATTTCCTGTGATTTTCAGACAAAATAATTCTCTATAGGATTATATCAGTTTTTACTGTAATAGCGTCTTATCTGATTAGTCAACATCGACTATATCATCGAAGTCACAGCTTCAATGGTCGCATATTATACGATCATACTAAATTTCGTTAAAGATCATGATCTTACCGGGTTACCTACCTATTCCACCAAGACGCATAGATTTCGCTTTACAATGTTTCCGATCATACACAGGACCTCAATAGCCTCGAAATCGCATATAGAAACGTCCTTCAGCTACATGTACTTTATTTATGCATGGCTGGTATCTCATGTTGAGCCAGTGAAACAAACAAGGTTTCTTATAGAACAGGAGATTCTATACATAATTTCACAGTATATGCATCTACTGTCGTAAAATTTGTACGGTAGGTTATCATTATCCAATACTTTCGAGATCCTCATGAATTCATATGCAGTTTTGAGTGTTATATCCGATGGCGGTTTTGGATTTTAGTAATCAGCTTTTATTTTTTTCCTGGTGTTCTTGAAAATATTTTTGGATTTGTTCTTTTATCGGAAAGTAAAATTGTTTCGACTCAATAATAATTTTAAAAAGCAAATAGAACCGTTGGAAATTAAAAATAAAAATGATTCGAACCGCTGCTCTTGTTATATTTTTCTTATCGAAAGTTCTACTTATGACAGATACAAATGTCCTAAGTTCAAAGTTCAAGTTCAAATTTATTTTGCATAAGCAAGGACATCACAAAAGAAAGTAAACGTTTAGTAACTTATAACATCTAAATTTAAAAAAATATTTTATATTCTTCTTTGTATTAAAATTTGTTGATCTAATCCATTTAAACTTATAGACTACACCTAAGTATCTGGTAATTTCAGAGGAATTTTTTGAAAAGTTTACCGTATAGATTTTTCGCGAATTTTTCTAAATTTCAAAAGTTCTTACGGGGATTACTCTAGAGTTTGAATTAGAAATTAGAGTATATAGTGAGCTCTATTATTGACTAGTTCTTTAGATGTGATGTTTAAATTATTCCAAAGATTGATTCGAGCATTATCTTAGCGACCTTCTCGGAATCCTGTCAGATACAGTGACATTTTCTAACTCTTCGTATTTCTAATTCTCATCCAGCCAATTTTCACTAAACTTTCAACGAATAACGATAATGTGGCGATGGATGACGATGGATGACTTCGTGACTCCATCAGATACGATCGCGCAATAAACTAACACTTCCTCATTATTAGGATTACTAAAGATCAAGAATCCGTTTTCGATTCAACGTGAATTTACCTCGTAAAAATAAGTCGACATTTGATCTGAGCATGATAGTGATCAAATAATTTAGCGGATGTTTTATAAAAAAATAAAACAGTCTCTCATTTCTCTACCGGTTATCGTGGCATACATGTTTATTTCATTCTAGGTGCAGCATATAAAATCGAGAGCGTCACCTTTGACGAAAAGTCTCAGATGTGGGTGATTCGAACAATCGCGTCAGATGAAGGTGCCCAATTAGCTCAAGAATACATGGAATACCAGAAGAAGAAAGTGTCTATATCGAACATTACAATGATGTTCGGTCATCTGCTATTGGATATGGGCGAATACATTAAATCACAAAAATATTTTGAGAACATCCTTCAATCAAATCCGAATGACGAGGATGTTGCTTGCATTTATTATAATATCGGCCGCGCACATCGTTTGAAATGCGAATACGATTATTCACTCGAGAATTATGTGAAAGCCTACACGATACATATAAGAGCGAGGCCGCAACGATTGGTCAGCGCTGCAAAAGCACTCAACGGAATCGGAATTGTTCATCATGAACAGGGTAATTATGAACAGGCATTGAAATTTTTTTCTAACGCTTTGAAAATATATCGTAAACAGTTATCGAAAAATCATACTGATATCGGTGGAACATTGACGAATTTAGCCAATGTTTATCGTCAGCAAAATGATTTTTCGCAAGCTCTTGAAACTCTGGAAGAAGCGCTGAAAATCAATTATCAATCACTGCCATCGGATCATCCGGCAATTGCTGCTACTCTCAACAATATGGGGAATTGTTATTTTGAACTGGGAGATTATGCAAAAGCATTGGATCATTATCGACGTGCGCTGTGTATAAAAGAAAAACCTGCTTATTCAAATATGACGCACATACCTATTCTTGGCTAGTCAATAGAATCGAGAAATCAGATGCATTTAGTGAATAATCTTTATCATTGCCAGCAGATCATCCAGACATTGCACGAACTATCGGAAATATTGGTTTATGCTATTGTTCAAATGAAGAAAAGGATTATGATCTCGCAATGCATTCCTTTGAACAAGCATTAACAATATGCGAAAAAACGCTGTCTCAAACTCATCCTTTAGTAGCAAGTTTTCAAAAGTACGTTGCTGATCTCAAAAAACAATTCATTATCACACACCATTAAGGCAAATCGAAAAGCATCTTGAATTTCTTAAGTACGTAGGAGTTCATTTGTACAAAGAAAAATAACAATAAAAAACTGTAAAAGAAACAAAATTATTGTTTTTCTTTTTTTTTCTTGTCTGAATTATACGAAATAAACGATCAATTGATAAAATAGTGAAAGATTACATAGACAGATATTCCTACGGACTTCCTGACTTATGAGTACCAAGAAGTATTCAGATATCCAGGAGTATGCTTCTTTTCCCTGAGTAAATGTCTCCATCGTTTACTCATTTTAGACCAGAATGTTAAGAGTATATTGGTAAACGAGAAGCCTGCCCAACTGTATCAGAATATTAGCTTAGAATTATAAAACTAAACAAGAAAAATGTATCAATTTGCATATCAAAACGTGTTAATTTTTATACTGAATGAATATCGGATTTTTGACGAGAAGATTTTATCTATGCCTAACAGTTTAAAATCCAATAACTGCATTATATATGCATTATAATTTCTGCAACCCTGTTGCATATCGCCTTCATCATATTTGTGTTTTATTTTGATACCGTTGAAATGCGATAACATTCTCAAAAAGATTTTCTTTCTAAATAACTACGGCTACTCATCAAAGACTGGAATGATTAGACTTTTCTGTAACGGAATCACTACATTTCAAAATTTCTGAGGTCAACACAGATGGGATTCGAACCATTTTCAGATTCATTTAAATGAAAAAAGTGAGAAACCAATTCACAAAAATTTTTAAAATCTATTTTTCTGATTTCATGCATAAGGGTACTAGTGATCACTAAAACCAAACCTCTTCAAAATCTAGAGTAGAGTTAGGGTTAGATCTGCACCAAGCCCAAAGACTCGAACTCGACCTTTTTTGAAGTATTATTAATTTAGTATCACATCAGTAATATTTACTCTTCTTTAGCATAAAAACTATTTTTTATCAGTGAGCAAGGATGGTTTAGTAATAAGTTAGTTACATTAACGGAAAAAAAAATTTAATAGAACCGCTGGTCTCGCTGTTACATAGTCAGGGATGGACTCGTCTATGACTAGACTTGAAATCCAACTCTGACTGGCTGAGATCACTCCTCTATGTGGAAATACCGGATGAGCAATAGTCAGGAATAACAGGTGGCCCAGAAATAATGACGCACTTTTGCAACTTATTTCCGTGCACTTAACTGAAGTTGTAAGACTCGATTTAGGCTCATTTGATAGAGAATTTTCTGTTCTACAAAATCCGCTACCATCTTTCATTACATATTATTTTATTATCTAAAAAGATTGTGTAGAAAAATTCAAATTGTAAATATTTTAGTGCACAAGTTAATTAATACGTTCTGACAACGTGAAATTTCGAAAAAAGCAAGGAAAGGACTAACCAAATGATGTTGTGTAAATATGCGATATAGAGGGGTTTTTTTCTAGCAGAAAATCTTTTGTCTTCTGAATTCAGAACAAATTCTTGGAAACATACGATATACAGACAAAAATAGGTGCATTAATAACTCCATGATCTTAGGACCATTTATTGTTAGCAGTTAAATGTTAGGAAAATATTATTATGCCAAAAGTCATGTGAGGTCGTACCCACAATACTCATTACTCACTCATGAGTATCAATGAGTACAAAATGTGTGAGTACTCACGTGTAATCCTCGCATTTTTCAGCATGAGTAAGCATCTGATTACTCACACTTGAGTACATTCACTAAGGTATATACAAGCAAACTGTTATATAACTATCGATAAGGACAGATAAACCACCTTAATAAGCATGAAACTAGACTATTTTCTGTTAGACGTTTCGTCTTTATTCAAAGACATCATCAGTCTGACGGACGATAGTTGATTCAAAATAGCAGATAAAAAGAAATACAAGTGTGCAAAAGGAAATAAAATAGATAAAATAAAACTTTTCATTTTTGCACAACATATGGCGACCGAATCATCCGTCGTCAAAATACGTTAAGTTCAAAGCTTTTTTGAGAATAGACCTGCCTTATTTTTTGCTCTGTATAAATGTTCATCAACAAGCTCTCTTCAATAGTTCTTTTTATAAGGTGTGATTCGACTGCAAGAATTTCCGGGTTCCAGTTATTGCGATGACATGTATCCAAGCAATGAACAGCTATCCTAGAGAACCCTGTTCCATAAAATGCCCTCTGGTGTTCCTCTTTTCATATTGTTACGCCTCTTGTTGTCTGTCCTATACAGCTATTAGCACATCCATAGCAATCATATTTGTAAACCACCCTCTTTAGATCACAAGCCTCTCGAAATGATCTGCTAAATATAGATGATATTGTGTGTGTACAGGTTTAAATCCAAAAGTCACCTTTTCATCGGACTTTGCAGAAATGTTTTAGTTTATTTGTCAAAACCAATGACGATGTACTATAGTACGGAAATAAAATGTAGTAACGTCTATTATTAATAGCTAGAACGGGCTGTTGTATGTTTTTATTCACTTTTATCCATCGTCTCGTCTTTTTCAAAATGTTCAACGGGTATCCATTAGCCCTAAAGATTCGTATATAATAACGTAGTTCTTTTTCGAATAATTCATTAATCCGTTTTGCCCTACCTAGTACACAGATATTTGATTAAGTTTATTTTATGGCCCAGGGCGTGAAAAATGAGATAAAAAATGAGCCATGAATGACTCATTTATGTGTCATATATGGCTCATTTTTAAATCATATCTCTCCCATATTTATCTCATTTATTGTATCATAATGTAGTCATACTTATGTCATTTTTTTATGGGATAAATATCATCTTATTATGGTCATCAAACTATGAGCCTATTATGAGCCTTGTTTAGATCATTTTTGGCTCATTTTAAGACCATTTTAAGACTAATAGATAGTAAACTTAATTTTTGACATTTTTTCACTTCTAGTCCCACCTTGGAAAATACTTCCTTCATGGCGAAAAACGAAAAATAAAATTTAAAAAGGAGTTTTCACCCTGAAGAAAGGGTTTTTGGGGGTCGATGTCGGAGTAAAAAAAATATCAGAAATTAAGTTTACTATCTTTTGGTCTCTAGGCTCAACTCTGTACAGTGTTTGTGGAAAGTAGTAGAAGGTAAATGCGCATAATTCCATAAAAAGTGCTACTTTCGTTTGTGTCATAATGTCCCATAAATGACTAATCTAATACACATAAATGATATGATTTAATTATGGTCATAAAATGTGACAAATATAATTGTAAGAAAATGATGATTTTAGATTAGAAGTTAAAAATGATGTAAAAATGACACATGAATGTTACATCTATGATCCTAGAGATATGATATATAAATAGATCATTTTTAGATGATCATACTAAGATCATATTTAGATCATTTTTACAAATTATATCATATATACATCATCTCTATATCATTTTATGAAATGATCTTAAAATGACTCATATATGGTATCATTTTAAGCTCATATTTAAATCATTTTAGGATTATAATATGATCATTTTCACTTTATATCATAAATGAGCCATACATGTCTCATTTCCTTTGATCTGGGAGGTTTTGGGCTGACTACTTGTCTATTTAAGATATAATCCAGTGTGAGTGGGCTTTCTATACACATACGTTATCAGTTCATCATTCAACCATTACAATTAAAAATCGTCTGTCACATTTAACTGATGATATCTTTTGAATAAAGACGAACCTTCTAACAGAAAATAGTCTTTATAAATCGAATATAGAACTGCTATGAATAGTTCTATATTCGATTTACAAATACTTATTTCCAACTGCTCTACCAACAAATTTCAGAAAATAGTCTATTTTCATACTCATTAAGGTGATTTATCTGTTATTACCTATATTTAAATTCTTCATCTTAAAAAATCACTCAATTGTTATATAACTGTTTATATAACTGTTATACTGCTAAAATGGTTAATAGAAAATGAGAGAATAGACTGCATCTTTCCTGCCCGAAAAATGCCTTTCGCTTTTAGTACAGACAAAATCAGTGTCTTTAGCTGTCAATCGACACGCCCATATACATATACATATACGCCAATCGTGCCTCTGACTCAACCTTGCATGCTTGTATAATGCATGACATGGATACGGTGAGTCAAGCATGCCCGAATGGTAAAAATGGACTGCTCTTGGATTACTGTGTCTATATTTTCGCTTTTTTATATAACACAACAACGGAATAGAAGAAAAGAAAATAATAAATGCAATAGAGGTGTATCAAATAAGAGAAAATATAAAGATATGTTTTATCCTTTCTTTGTCGAACATGTCAGATATTTCTATTGCGTTCCTGTTCATGTGTATTTCTTTTTTTACAAATTGCAAATTGTCTGTCCATCTACAAGGTGTACAAAAACTGTATTTTTTGGAAAAAAGATCCGTTTTTGACCCAAAAGAAAAAATCAAAACCTAAACTTTTTTTTCAGAAATTGTAGAGCGACATCAAATTTATCTTTGAGTCACTTTAGCATTAGTCGTTACAGTAAATAGCCTTAGAGAAAAGGATGAGAATGTCCGTCTACAGAAAATAAGAAAAGTGTGCGCTTTATTTTCGAGATATGTGACCGGAAAAAAAGTATGTAAAAACAAAAGTGAATCATATAATTCGATAGAGAATTGAACGCCCTACAAAATGTGCCTCAAATGTGGTCTCAAATGAGCAAACGCTTTTACTTTGAAGACAACTTGATTACAGAAGTAATTTTTGATGGTAGTCCTAAATCTGATATTCAT